TTTGTCCATTTACCTTTACAAAACTACGATGATTATATTTGTCATTGACAATTATTATTTGTGTAACTGACGGAGTATTCAGTCAGACAGAAGATTGATGTTTCCAACTGAATAAAATTAACTATGCTATTATGTATTAACATAACAATAATTAGCATTGCTATGATAAATTTCAACGTACCACATTAAAAAGTAAGACTAATTGCCTGTCTATGCATGCCAACCTCTTTTTTTTTAACAAGTTTTTCCTAGTTCTGTTCTTGTCCAATTTAAACTAAAAGGAAGAAGTCATTGAAATACCAACCTTGTGGTGTCTGCTTAGCCTGCTTAATGTCTGCCCAATAATCAGATTAAGCTCTATGTCTTTGCTTCCAAGATTTTCTTGTTAGATTAAAGTCATATTTTCTTAAGGATAGGCCTTAGATTTAGGATGGCAAATACTGGCAAAATATGATCTAAGAGCTATTGAACAGCCGCCGACTATAAAATGCGAAACTGGTACAATGTCTTTGTCTTTAAAATGGTCTTCATTTTACCTAAGTAAATTTGTATTGCTTACATGTGCTTTTTTTCTCATTAGATCCATAGTAGTTTTTGTCCAATAATTAAGTGATCATATTAAGTTTAATTTAATTCAAATTTCCCAGTTGACCTTAATTTCTTCTAGATAATAGTGTGATTAAATCTTTTTATGAAAGTTAGATAAACCATTGATCATTATGTTTTTGGTTAATCGTCTCAGCTCTGAGTCTTTAAAGAGTATAATATTCTTATTACTCTCAAGACACAACAGTTTGATGCAAGGGTACAATTTCATTTTGGTGAACAAGCCCTCATCTGAGAGATGATCCTTTAGTCTCTGCAATTCCTAAAATGCAAATTTTGAGAAAATAACTTTGCTCTATTACTTCAGATTGCCTGTAGTAATTAATATCCTTAAAATATTCTGCCAAGTATTATGTTTCATCAAATATTTCCTCCTAGATTCCACTAAATATGTCAGATTGCTAATTGACAAATTGAGCCTTAAATTGTGTTTATTTAAAAATCTTTCTCAGTCAAGATTTTAAAAAGTTTTTTTATTCAAGTATATTTCTCTCATATAGGACAGGATGAAGATACACTCTTGATGATGACACCACAGGAATGACCCTTACTCTAGTACTGACAGAGTTCTTATTCCCAATGGACCTCTTTGATCTATGTCTGATTATAGACTATAGCATTTCTGTTGTTGTAAAATCTACTCTCTTTTCCTGTCTTTCCCAAGCCTGTGCAAATATTTTAAACATACACTGTGTCTTATTTAAATGTCTTTTATGTCTGAGTCTGTCCTATTGTGTATCTGAATTCCTTTTCCGACGAGTAGTACGTTGGCAGAAGTCACAAAATTCCACACTGGTTCAGAATTATGAATAATAAAGGGTTATTTATTTAAGGGTGACTTGCTGATCACTGTCCTAGATCCTAGTTCTCTGCACAAATAGGAAACAGGAACAGAATCTAGCAGCCAGAAGCTGTATTTGGAAGCAAGAGAGCAAGCACAGGCTTTACAGCTGCATTTATAGTATAAGAGACCAAGCCCATGTCTGCTGGTATCTTAAAGGCTATTGGCTGAAGGAGCAGAAGGAGCTTACACAGAACTGCTCCCTTTTGTTAAAATAAGAGAGTTCAAAACCCTATACAAAACTATATACACTAGGAAGAGATATCATGTATAATATTAGAATTACAACCAGCATAAACAATATTAAGCAAGGAATGTATGCTAAATGTTTTAATAAACATTGTATTCTAAGGAATCTAAGTCTTGTATTGGAAATGGCTTGAATAGTCATAAGAGGGTAATAACTATTACTATCTAATCTTCAACCTCATCAAAGGCTTGAGAAGGGAGATTACATTACTCCAGTAGGCAGGATGTGCAATCAAGCAGCTTCCAAAATGTGCAGTAGATGACAGAGACAACAGGCTACCATTAGCAATCACCCAAAGTCTCATTGGCAATGTTGAAGCCACCAACTTTGGTTAAAGCCTAGAGTAACTGACAGATCATTTTCAGAGGCAGGAAATTTATCAAAACCGTCTTACCCTGTCTTGACAAGATTTGACAGTCATTTTTTCTTGTATCCTGTTTGTCCAGTCTGGACATCGTGCACTGGCAGTGGTCGAGGCATGGGCAGTTCCTTGCCCAAAGGCCAGTTGAACCAAGAAAAAGACAAAATTCCAAGTAGAGTGTCTTTGGTGCCCAACACTCTCTTGGGGGATAGATTGGTGCTGCCAGGAGCAGTCATGCTTCATGTAAACAGAATCCTAAGTTATTTAAATGACATATTCTACAGAACTTTGAGGTGGTTGAAGGTTACCTATCTATGCAGAATAGAATTTCTATATATCTTAAGAACCTAATTAGTCTGACTACAAGAATAACAAATATGACTAATGACCGATGAAGTTGTGGTTTAATGGAAATGTTTTGGCATCTTTCTCCTTCAGCAGCTTCATGGCATCTCCCTGATTCTGCCTTCTTTCCTCCTCTATCTCTGCTTGGATTTCCTGCCTTGCTATTCCTTATAACAGGCTTTTATTCTGGCTGTCACAGATTATTATGAGAAAAGTGACTTAAGGCAGAAGCAGTTTATTTCATATCACAATTGAAGAGTCCAGTTCATAAAATTCAGAAGTGTGAAGCTGCTAGTGAGTGACACACTAATAAATATTAAATGAGACAGTGGGTCATCAAGTATTCAAGATGGCATCTCATGGTATTCTTCAGTAAATCCTATTGATATAATAATTCAGAGGTTTCTTAAGAAACACATGCAAGATAATTATGTATCCTGTCAGTCTGTCAGTGAAAATTAACCATTCTAATTAATATATGTACTCATAGGAGCCAGTAAAATTTGAGGATGTGGCAGTGAACTTCACCTCAGAAGAGTGGGCTGTGTTGGATTCTAGTCAGAAGAAGCTCTACAGAGATGTGATGAAGGAAACATTTTTGAACCTGATCTCCATAGGTAAAAAGTACTACATGCTCCCATTG